AGCTTGGAGAGAACATTACCAGGAAGATCCAATGCAAACAGGATATGGAAACATTCATTTTGCAGAACAAGACCTGCAGATGGACAGTTATTACCAAAACTCTGCGCAATCAGAAAAACCCCACCTCCTCAAGGCTGAATAGATAAATTTATGTAAGTCACAGCATTTATAAGAATCTTGTGTTCATCACAGTTGCTTAAAATAACCACTTCTTTAATAACACACACCTACTACTTTGGGATGTGCTCAGTCTGAGTGCAAAGGGAGCTTTTATGATTTCTAAGCCAGTCTTTCAGTCTTCATTCCCACCTACCTATAGATACAATAAGTCTTTGTGATTTCAGATCAGATTAAATGTCTTTGTATGTCTGCAGAGCTGAACACTACCAAGGCATTGACCAAAAAAACTGAGTTTTCTTAGAAAGTAAATATTTTATGTGCAACTTAAACCTTTACCAAAATGCCTACCCCTGTGACACTTTGCAGGGAAAATCCCGAACATCCAGCTCCAGGATATCTTGGCATATTTGCCATTCTGAAGAGTAACTAGGAGGTCTCCCTGGTAGCTCAGCAAATCAAGGAAGATCAGTAACCAGTGGTGTAAATGCTTTGTGGCACAGCTCTGCTTTCCTTCAGTCTCTGGGCTCATGCTAAGCTTCACTCCTATTGCTAAAACAGGGCAAGTTATTCCAGCCTGGAACCAGGTGAGAGGTACCCTGAAAGAAGTATTTCAGAGACAGATTGACATAAGAGAAAGACAGGAATGCAGATGGGAACCCTGAAGCTTCCGAAGATGATGCCACTTTTCAGGAAGACATACAGAATCTTTGACAAGATGATCTTAACTTCTTGCAAATGTCCAGAAATCAGTTAAAAACATGTCATCAGAGGATACCAAAATATCAGTATCAAGTAGGAGAGGAAACTCCAAAAAAACCCCCTACCACATAGGTTAGAGGGGCTTTGGTAGTCAACTGATTATAAAAGAAGGCATTGCAGCAACCAGGAACGAGAAGCAAATACACCCTCAGTCCTCTCCCAGAGGGCACCAGCACCTTCTCTCCAGAGAATGAAAGCAGCAGACTCTACAGTATCCTGCCTTTGTAGTGGCAGTGGGCCTGGTAATAGACAATGCAGTATCTTTTATTAACTATTTTACCAAATTACTCAAATTTGGGACCACTGAACTCAAGTCCAGTGAGCTCACATCCAGGATGTGCTTAGGCAGCAACAGTTGCATTGATAACACATTCAAGTTCAGTAACTCTGGAGCCGCAGAAAAGGAGCAGCAGATAAAAGTGGGGGTTTTTTCCAACTGTACCTTTGCCAACATGCCTCAATCACACTGGATTTGAAGCAGAATTAGGTCTTGAGGCTCTGTCAGTATTTAGTCTCCTGATGGAGACTGTCAGTCACCACTAATAACAGCAAATTTCAATCTAGACATCAAGAATCAAAGTGAGCCTACAAGCTCCAGCTCCACATGACAGCGAACAGCCATCATATGACAGCAACCTTGCGGCAACAAGCCACATCTAAAGCAAGCCACTTGCAAGCAAAAGTCTCCTCCAGTACTACTGCTCTGATTTTTGTTCTAATCTCTGCACAATGACATATTGCCTGAGGCTGAAATCCCTCTTGCCATCAAAGGACTGCCCATCACCACCAAAGAGTGGCTTGGAGGAGAGAGTCTGCAAGAAACACAGCTCTAAGCTGGTCACCTCAAAACTGTAAGCAGATCATGGATCCATGCTACTACAAAGCACACATACATGTGATTAAAGCAAACAGGGCAGCAGGGATAGGATGGGTGTCAAGGCCTGCCAGACCTCTGCAGTACGTATTCAGAAACAAAAAAGACATCAGGAGAACCTATTACGAACACTGAATTCATGCCTGTAAAAATTACTTCTTGTATTCTTGACTCTCAGCTGCTCCCAGGGATACACAGAGCTGTGAGAGGATGAAAATTGCCAGTTTTGTTCCTGGTGCAGCCACTGGAGACTCCATGCATCTTAACCCCGGGAAAGCAACTCACCGTGCCACAGGTGTGGTGTTTGGCATCCACAGAGACAGAGGCTTGTGTCTGACAAGAAACTATAATACTGTTTGAGGTAAATTTCAAATCATACACCAACATTGTGACTGTCTGGAGCAGTGGTGACAACTCCTACTTGCAGCCACATTGCAGCCGTGGATCATTAGAGCATAGCTACCTTATCACTTCCTTTCTTCTAGATCCCCTGCCTGTGCACAGACAGGTGACATGGATCAAGGCAGGAGAACTCCTGAACCTACAGATACCCTGGGCTTTATGAATCAGCAGTGCCAGCTCAGAAAAAGGAGGCTGCACTAGAGGGAAGCATCTGTGTCTGCAGATAAAAACTACACTGTCTCCCAACTAAGAGACCTTAGCTCTGTCTAGAACACTTTTTCATTAGACTTGCAGAGGCTAATGTAGAAATTAAAAATTGAAAGGACCGAGTCAGATGATTGACCCTAAATAACATCTAAGCAATTCAATCATGTCTTTCCCATTGCTGGCTTAGACAGCAGGGTATTGTAACTGGTATTGATTGGTCTGTTTGCTACTCTAGCTGATTCAGTCTGCATCTGAATGGAAGTTTTTATTTTTATTACACGACTCAGACTATCTGAGCAGATAATCAATTATATTAAAATCTTCTTCGTTAAAGAATTAGATTAAAAATATCTTATTTCTCTTGAAAGACATTATGTACTGCATTGTCAACGCTCTTATCAGGGCTCACTAGGCTATAGGGAGAATCCACACTGAAATAGCTATAATGGTATTACAAGAAAACAAGTACTTGGAAGCTCAAAAATAGCCTTTATAGTCCTTTACACCTTCCACTGAACTATTCTTTATCTGATGCAATGTGAAAATGTTGTGCTGATATACAGCTCTAGGAATGAGCATGAACATTTTTAGGCCTCACACATACCTATTTTTCAGTGCTAGATATTCACAGGAGGTCTATAAAAACCAAAATCTTACAGCAACAGTGCTCTTTGGCTCATACTGTTATCCCTATTTAACTGATGTGATTAACTGAGGCAGAAAGATATTGAACTTTTTGTCCAAGGTCACACAGTGAGGTCAGGAATGGAGCTAAAGCAGACTCAAACTCTTTCAGTTCACTGCTTTGTTTTAAACCATCTAATCTCCCTTTCAGCTCTTTCATGCAAAAGGTACAAAAGACTTGATACACTCCAACACTTAAAAGTGCAAATCCCCAGTGTAAAAAGAATGCAGGTTAGCATTTAAAGCAAGAGTACAAAAATCCCCTTTTAGGCCACAGGATGCAGAAATATTGCAGCACAGCCCATCACTTTAATAATATCTCACAGCAGAAGGTACTTGAGTCATGTTTAGTGTACTGCCAATTCCAAGTAAAAGCTCTTAGGAATACTAAAAGTTATGCAGTCAGCCAGGAACGTGTAGCTGATGTAGACTCCTGGAATCATGTATTATAACCAACTTTTTAATTTGCATATGAACAAAATAAATAAAAAAACAACAAACCAAACAAAAAAACCCCACCCTAATCTCTACAGCATTTTTCAAGTGTTCCATGAATACTAAGTAATCATCTTGACAACTCCATGACAAAATGTTACCAAGCAGTTATTTCAACATAGAAGCTGCACAAAGATGTGCAAACTAAAGCTGTAGCTTCAGACCTAAGTAATAACAAAAAGCCTCTAACTGCTTCAGAGGCCAAAAATAGCCAAACATTAGTGAAATGAAATATTAATGCCAGCAAACGCAAGGAGTGACAGGATTCCCTGGCCACCATCCCCTTGTTCCAAGGTTTTCCATTACAGATTTTACATCCTGGTCCATGTTAAAGAACGCCAAATTAATGCAGAAAAGGTTGCTTTCTTTTTCTTCCTTACTGAAATTAAACAAAAGAGCTTTCTTGATAATGTACACTGTCCTGTATTTATCCCTACCCCTCCAAGCATTTTCATTTCTTTACAATGAAGGAGAAACAAAACTTAATTTCTGTTACTTCCAAGTAATAGTGTGTACTGGAAGTTCAAAAGACCAGTGTTCTGTAAGAATCAGATTTAATTAACTTTTTTAAGTCCTCTTCCTAGCTTTCTAGAACAGCCACCTCTTTGCCATAGGTAATTTTTTCTTTCTATTTTCTTCTTTCTTTTCAACTGCACCAGTAGAAACAGTCCAGGAAGACTGGTGAATCTCCCTCAAGTCTGCAACTAAAACATTAAGTCATAACAAGAAAAACATACAAACCTTCATACAAAGACTTCAATGACATAAAAGACTTCATAAAAGACTTCAAACATCTTCATATTTCAACTCTTTGTTCTTGTGTGTAGAGCAGCCTTCACTGTTTTAGATAAATATTGTAACCAAATATCCAAATGTATACCAATATTGTAACAAAAACCTGCAAACTTTTGAGACAGCCTGTCTTCAAGTTGCACACAGTATCACACATATGTAATTACCCACCTCAAGAAATGAAAAACAAAAGCTAGAAGCAAACAGGTATGAGAACTTTGACACCCATTTTTGTTTCCTTCCTTCTGAAAAATCAAAGGAACCTATTCTTCCTTCAGTTTCATCCTAGGAGAATGCCACAGACTGCAGTGAATTAACATTTGATTACGCTGTCATCCACAAGCAATAACTGTTCATTCCAGGGCTCTGAAGCCATGCATTATCGTATTTGTGATTCTTTAACAGAGATTTTTGCCTAGATAGCTTTCCTTTCACACAGATGTCATCACAGTATTTTATCATCTGGTTTAGGTAAGATCAGAAGAGCTGCTAAAGGATTCGCAAATTGGTCCACCAAGGCTAGTGCTTGACCTCAGTAATAAGGTAATATTGACATGTTTCTAATAAATGCAGCAGGCCATGTGGCAGCCATACCACACTCTGACATTTTAATTCACTCAGCACATTAATTTTTTAAGCTTTATTTATCACTAAAGAAAGTACTTACAGGGTCAGAAGGACCACAGAAGTCTCTGAACACTTTTGAAGGACCACAGAAGTCTCTGAACACTTTTGAAGGATCGAATTGTCTAACCTCCATCGCTATGCAAGGGCCTGAACACAACTCTGAAACCATCTCCTGGAAGAGAAAGAAGACAGAAAAAAAGTTGAACTCTGGGCTTTAGCACAAGTTGTATTTCTCCCCAAAACAAGGCCCAAACTTACAGGACAGGAACAATTAAGAAATCTTGGTGCATTTAGGAAAGTGAGGACACTAAACAGATACCATTAGTATACACCACAAAAGAAATGTTTTCCATTTTGCCTCCTGGTTTAGAAGGTGGAAATTGAGAAAAAAATGGATCCACAGCATCCACAATACTTTAAATTCTTTTGTAGGTCCATCTTTATTGATCTAGATTGCACTGCAGTATCTCATAACTTGTCAAACTAGACTAAATCACTGGAATCTACTTTGCTGGGTTTTAAGCCTGAAAAATCACACTATGTTCAGCTAGTTCCACAGGCAGCAATGTACTTTGCAGTGTTCCCTACCAGAAGCCCAGTACACAGCCTATATCTGTTTCCAAATATACACTCATTTGATGTCTTTAAGTCATTAAAATGTCTCCTGGGCTTTTGGTTCTCACTGTCTTCTCCTCATAGATTGCTACAGAAGCTGAAACACACAAGCCAATAGAATCTGTGCCTGTGGCACAACCTGTTAGGGAAAGGGTCTGGCAACACTCTTGTGATGTACTAATACCAGTGTCTCAATTACAGTTTCCCTGGTGTCTCCAGAAGAGTCAAGAGACATCATGAGTTCCATGTGGGTGATGAAGATGGGTCTTAGTTTTCATAGGCTTAAATTAACTCTGGGCATTAGTGCCAATTTAGAGTTTGTTAATTAGAGGTATAAGTTTCACAAGCAGAAAGAACCAATTTTGATGTTCTAATCTGACTTCCTTTTTTAAATCATGCCCTTATAATTGCATATTAGTCTAGAAATCTGGCCAGAAAAGTTCTAAACAAATCAAGACAATTAAAGGAATCAAAACCAATGAGGAAAGACAAAAGGGCAAAACGTGCACAGAAAGTAAGGGAGGACAGGTAAAGACTAGCAAGGTTCTGCAACCACGCCCACCAGCCACAGGCTGATCAAAGATAAACCATGGCAAAGCATACAGAGTGGACAAAAGAGCAGATGGAAAAGAAGACCTAAGTCTTTCTTTTCCTTCTATGAACTATGACAGAAAACAAATACACAAAGACTCCAAGTCAAGCAGCACTGTTCCAAAAAGCTACTATCCTTATACTGGATTCCATACTGAGAACTGAATTTTATCCAGTGCCTCTGTCATAACTGGATCCTAGGAAATTTAGGTAGAAGTATTCTTTAAGGACATGAAAACAGTGCAGACTAGCTATATGCTCTACAACATAAAAAGCAGAGAGAAAAGGGTCTTTTAACTTGAGCTGAATCAACTCTCTGCAATTCCTGCAAACAGTGTTTTTTCTTGTTCCTCCCTCTTTTAATTGTTTCTGTCTCAGCACAGGCATCCCACCAGCAACAGTGAACAACATGACCAAAGTTATTCCTGATTCCCTCATTACTGCATGGAGCTGAGACCTGAAGACCAGCTGCCATCAGGTACAGCACAGGTGATTCTGTGTCAGACAAGCCCAATCTACTTACACAGCCTCATCAAGTCCAGAGCTGAGTCTAAACAGCAGACAACGTTTGTCTGGTGAGGCTTCCAGTTACAGCTACATCAAATTTTCTCTAGCAAATAGTTTGTCAAATAGCATGGTTTGTGGTCAAGCAGAACCATTCCTGGAGATGGATCAAGCACAAGGATTTTTGATTAACAAAGTGGATTCTGAGCTGATCAAAAATAATCTCACTTCTTTTTACCCATTTTCTATTCTGACTAGAGTAGGAAGTAAAAACCAAAACAGCACAAAAACTAAGCAACAGTATGTAAAATCCCATGTAGGGGATACTAAAAAAGCTAAAATTTGGGCAAGTGTACAGCTTTCTCTTTTCAGAAAGTACTTTATATACAATGTCAAACCTTTATCTGACTGACAAGGAATAACCAGAATAAATGGAAGTACATTTTTTTAAAAGGATTTCTGGATGCCAGTATTTTCTGTGCTGAGTTATTTTGGAATGATAAATAAAATTTAGATCAAAACAGATGGTTCTGAGTCACATACAGAAGAGGTCATATTCTTTCTCCAATATTCTATTTCATAACATACTTTCCTATTTGGACTGCACTGACAATATCTGTTGCTGTTCCCATGTGTGCCTTCTCCAGAACCCTTTACCATCACAATTAGATTTTCCATGCTTTCCTGTTTCTCGGATATCCTGAGTGCATGAAAATATTAATTTGATTTCTTTTCAACTGAGTCAATCCAGCACATATAACTTGCAGGATGGAGCGCTAGATTCTCACTTTTCTTGACATTACCTAAAACGTATTTTATCTATTGACTTACCTTGTTTAAATGTCACCTTCCATTCTGAGTAACTCTCCAATTAAATTATACAACTAAAATTTGCAACTTGTTAGAAAGTTGAAGATTGTGCAGCCCAAGTGCTGCAGAAAATAGTAGAGAAATCCCTATTTTGTTCAAAGCAGAGATTTTTGCAGCACTATAGGACTCCTCAGACCCTGAAATACTAGTCAGATACTTCCATTCTTAAATTCTGCCACATACCAACAAGTATGCCTGTCCAATCTCCCTTTGGCACTTGTTAAAAATTATGTTCAGAAGAGGTCTTGTGAGTATTCCCCAATCTGAGAGTGAACTAACAGTACTCCTAACTCATTTAAAGACAAATATACAAACCCTGTTGAAGTAAGTCGGGCTGATCAATCATAAAGGAAGAAAAAAATAATTAAAAAAAATTAATTTTTAGAGTAATATTAGTAAATATGTAGAAAATTTACAATAATGTAACCATTTAAAAATTAAGGATAATTTGATACATAACAGCATGGCAGTAAAATCATCACTATGAGTAAATTATATTGTAAAGTAAAAATTGCTATGAGTAAAAGGAACCAAAATCCTCTGAGAGAAGGTGATCCAGAAACACAAACTCATCTTCTTGTATTCCCACTCTTCTATCTGCAGCCAGGAAGTTTTATGTAACAGTACAACATAGCATAATACTGTAGAGAGTCTCAGATGTCCACTGGGATTACAGCATATCTTAAACTTCTTAAATTTTCTGAATATTTACAGAAGTCAGATGAATAAAACAAAGAGTAGTTCAAGATGTCATTAGGAAAGCCTCCAATACAGCAGCCTCATTGTAAGTAAAATGATAAATATGTATTTTGGTCTAAGCCAAAATTGGGAATACCCAATCAAACAAAGATGCAGATGTGCTACATTATCATAGCTCAACATCAATAATATAATTTTTTTGGGGGGAACCAGGGATGTGACTCTCTTGTATTTTACAAATGCCTTGGCTGAACAGTTTTCATGAAAGGCTCTCCTCTGTTATGACACACATGACACAATTCTCACAATGAATTAATTTATATGAGAACACACTAGAACTGTTCAATACCAAGTTCACAAAAGAACCCACACCACAATCCCAAGAAACAAGAAATTTGGTAATTTCCTCACTTGAGCATATTTTATTTTTAAACAAATTCTTGTTAAACTTATGCTTACCAGGTATTCAGGGACGACACCTTTGTAAATCTCATAAAATTCTTCCACATTTGTACGCTCCAAGTTGAACTAAGAAAACCAAAATGATAGCCAGTCTGAATTAAACAACAACAGGAATACATAGACACCCTTTCTTAACCAGCAAACATTCAGAATCCTCAGAGTTTTACTAGGTAAAAGGAATGGCTTTACTACTGCAATATGAAGCTTGTCAGCAATTTAAGTCAGTGATGCCAGAGGCAACATAGCACACAGTATCTTTTTCTACATCAAATACAAGTATACAATGTAGTGTTGTCTGATCCCACTAAGAAAGAGGATATTCTTCCTTTGTGATAGGAAGAATTTCCTTGGAGTGATAGGAAAATATCAGATCTTGAAACTTCTACCAGAATTGAAGGGAAGGAACTCTTGGGAACAATCTCTGTACCAAATCCCTTTAACTGCTGAGGGTGTTCAGGGTGTCAAAATCCCTTAAGTACTTTTAAAAGCATTCCCCATAATTCATACTAAATATATATCTTAAAAAAATTAAGGAAGGATATTAACAATAGTTTCATTAATATTAGCTAGTACATTTTGTAAAGATATCTCAAATTGCTCCAGAAGAGACAGATATCATTATCTCTCCTCCTATAGGGAAACTCAGATACAGGGAAGTGAACTGTCTTGGCTCAAGGTCACCAAGCAAGCAGAAAAAGATTAGCAGACTCATTAGATACTAAAACACAAATATCACAAGGACAATGCTGATCCCAAAACATTGCTACAGTCTGCACAAGGGCTTTATACTGCAGGAAGACACCTGTCCACTGCTATGATGTGCATACAGCACTACTCCAACTTCATGATGTGCATACAGCACTACTCCAACTTCTGTTTATCATAAAAATACACAAAAGGAAACCTACCATCTGCAAAGCCGAGATCTCAAATCCTTCTTTGAGGATGGCTTTTATAATCTTTCCAGAAAGCCCTGAAGAAACATAGAAAATACAGTATGCAATTTTAAAAAGCAGAATTTACAACTAAAAGTATTATGCCAATATACTGCTTATTCTCAAACTGAAAAAACGGTGTTTGGCTGTAAGGCTGTGAGAAGAAGCTGAGTTCACACCCTCTATATTCTATAGGAGGTTACAAGTTGATGGCCTCAAATAACTAAATTCCTTGCAGCTGTTGAAGAGCATTTCCACCAAAAAAAGATAATTAGTGAAGCCTTTGCTTTTCTCAGATCAACTGCAAAACATCCAGTTGCTGCAAGACCAAGATTTAGATTTTTAATGAAGACCCATTGGCAATACTGATGTTAATCAGTCATCAATCCAGAGCACCAGCTGTCTTTTTCTTTTTGCAGGTCCTGCTTTAAGCCAGAAACAATGCAGGATGATAACAAATGTTGCCAGTAAACTAGCACAGGAGTTCATGTCTTCTATGGGAAAAACACATTAGTGCAAAATAACCTACTCCTTCAAAGTTTATAGCTCACAAATATGCTATTGCTGATGATACTGCCTGCTTATTCTCTCCAGAACACAACCTCAATAACTGAATGATATTGTAAAACAAAAAACTGAACTTCAAGAAACAAGAACTGCTGATTTTCCACTGAATGTATATTTTAGATTTGCTCATACTTACAAGATCAGGACATTTTGAAGATTATGTCAGCCAAGCACAGTACTCTGTGTGAGTGAATTTCACAGAATCATTGTTTTTTATAGAACACAAATGCTTGTCCTCTAGTACAACTTGTGAGAAAAAACAAATTTCTGGTCATTTATCTAAAAAAGAATTAGTCACAGAAGAATACCTTGTAATGAATGATAACAGTAGGATGTGACTCCTGGTCATTAGGTCCGCTTATTAAGCAGTCTTTAAATTACAGGATATTCAGCACTACACAAATTTAGGAGATAAGAATAAAACAAAGCTTGTATGGAAGTTATAGTATGCTTGTGACACAGCCTACTAACACCTGTGGCATAGGACTGGGGAGCTTCCTACCACATTAAAAGGTCAATGGAAGCTCTGAGTAAATGAGACAGAGTTGAAAGGTTTTCAAAAACTATCTACAAATGAAAATAAAAAAAATGTGTCCCTGAAGTATTTGCTACCGTATTTTCACACTATGGTTTATGTAGAATAGCCTTCCCTCTACAAAACACTGCATATTTCTTCCAAAAATCTTCCAGTTACTAAAGGGAAAACCTAAGATTTCAGTGCATACTCAGTCCATGCAGCTCTTTGTGTTTAAAGAACATAGAAATAAGCAAAGGCAAACACAATTCCTGTCCCACTACACTGTTCCACCATGTTTTGGTAAAAGTTTCCTTTTAACACTCCTCTGAACCCAGGGGAAAAAAAAATCCCCCTTTTTAAGATAAAAAATTAAACAACTGCAACAGCAAAATGAAGGGTCTTAGACAGGTTTGCCCAGGAAATGCAAGCCCAAATCACAGAGAGAAACCAGAGCTCTGGTTTCTTTTCATTCACCCTGCTGGAAAGGCTGAGCAGCTCAGATGCTTCCACACAGGTTCCACTGAGGCAGTGAGCCTTCAGTCTTGTTTTCAGAGATGAATGGACAGTTTGTAAAGAGATCAAATCTGGGTTGATCTGGCTGGGAATCATTCAGGAAATGAATAAATAAATTGAATAAATAAATTAATTCATTAATTAATTAAATATGTGACACAGCCTAAACATTTCCTCATTCTCAATCTTCAAAGACAATACTCTAGTCAACTGCTTTACCAGAAACCAGCAAAGATGAAGAAAGAGCACTGCCAGATAAATGGTCTCTGTCACTTGCAGGGAAAAAGCTATGAGAAAGGTAAGGGACAGCTGCTTTGCCTGGCAGATGTCCATTTTACACTTTATCAGTAAAGAATGGGCTACTTGCATTTCACTCTCAGACAGCAAAAATCTAATTAAAATACATCAAGTTATGGGGTATTATGGAGATCTGTTTTTTACAGAACTTTTGTCTTCAGCAGTTTTACAACTTACAAGCAAAATCCATGTTTTAGAGAAGCAGAGGGGGACTCTATTCAGCTTTCTGGGCTGTTTCTCTACTGAGGTCACCAAGACCTATCTCTTGTGAAGAGAGGAGATAGTCTCCTTTAATGATAGAAATTAAAGTTAGAAGGTATTTTGCATTAAGGTCTTTAATGCAAGGTTCCTTTAATAATTGTGATAAATCTATCAGGATTTTCTTCTACATATTTCTTCTTTGTATTTCTGAGTTCACTCCCACTCAGCAGAGCACTTTGTTGCTCCAGACAGATTGCCCATGTCTGCAGCACCCGAAAGACTTAACCAAAAGATTTACTGTCACCATTCAGACAGATAGACACCTCAGTCACAAAATTCAAAATGTGCCTTGAGGAAGAAGAGCCATGAGATTTCATTTATGTTGGCAAAGCTGGCTGTTAGCTCCACTTCCCAGATGTGGGAATTGAGGCAGAGGAGCATAAGCAATTTGCCAGTGGCAGCACAGATCCAGTGACTTGCCCTCCCTTGTCCCAGTTTAGGCAATCCACGTATCATTTCTCCTAGGGACACTTTCCTTTCAAATTCTACCTGAACCAAAATAGAAACAAAAATCACAAAGGCAATCCCCAAGCAACAGAAAAGTGCCAGCTCAAGGCTCAGCCTGGGATCTGTTTGAGGCTTTCAGCCAGTTGCATCTCTGAACTGGGACATAGCCTCTTCTTTGGGGGCAGATAAGGCTCAGGAAAAGATGAACTAATTAGAGTGCCATTTCAGCAGCTTTCAACAATTCCTTTCAACTTTAAAATCCAAATCTGTAGTGAAAAAACAACTTTCTAAGGACCCCTCAAAAAGGGTCAGTGGATGTTTAAAATGTGATTACAGTAAGAACCCAAATCAAAGCTGCAGATTAGGCATCAGTTATGACGAATTTTCAGTTGCAAAGCACAAAAGAATCCCAAGCATTACTAAATACAACTGAGGGAATTTAACACTAATCCAAGCAAAGAGTGAAAGGGAGCACAGGCACACATTTAATGTCTGCTGGGCAGCATTATCTTACTACATACCTAGTACAGGACATAATCATTTTCCAATATAAACAGATAATTTCCCAATATATTTTAATCAGGTAAAATGATAAAGTACCAAGACTTCCTCAATTACATTAATATTATATGATTTGTTGCTTTAGAACATACAGTATTTGAAAATTGTCCTTCATTAAGAAACAGAAAATAACAGGGAAGATATCAGACTGAAAAATGTTACAACTGTTCACAGAACTAGACATTGGGATAAAATAAAACAGTTTAATGAAAGTCACTTTTAACCTAGTGACACTTAAATCAATGAGCCATAGCACCTGTGCTACTGGGACCTTTCAGTCCCAGCGCACTATGAACCATCAGCCCTTGGAGTAGGAATGTTACATTCTCTTCTCTTTCTTCTTGGCCTGTTTCCTAATTTAACCATTCCTCTGTTAAAAGCTCATTAGGCAAGATAGCAGACTGCTTTCAAAGCAAGGCAAGAACGAGATCCCTCATCTCAGTCTCCATATGTCATTTTTTAAAATCCTTCCAATAATTAAAAATAATTCCTCTTTAAACAACAGGGGTTTTTTGACAGGAATACAAAAAATGCCATGACTGATCAGATTGATGATCCACCTCATCCAGTAACATATTTCTAAAAGTAACCTGTACTGGGTACTTAATATATCACTAACTATAAGTAGCAACTTCATTTCATGTCTTTTTCTGACATTTTGAAATGCAATTTTGCTTCACGGTATAATGAAATAATCTGATCTTTTACAGCCAAGTGGTAAGGTCCTATTTCAAAACTGCAGAGAATCACAATCAGGCTTGACTCCAGGCAAAATCCTTTTTAAACTCCAGAAGATAGAAAAGTGGGATTTAGAGTTGGGCCCTCTGCAATGTATTTCAGTTGAAGTTCTTGCTAATCTTTGTTTCAGACAACATTGAAAAACACAGTAAGTAAGTAAGGGCAGTAAGTAAATGACGATGTCCTTCTCAAAGAGTGCACTTCTTCCCATCAGCTGGTCAACCTATACCCTGAAGAACAAGGTTTTTCTCTCTCTTCTTTTTCTACTTAGGAATAACACAACGCTAGGTATTTTTCCTATGCAGCATAAGTACACTATTTCTAGACTCCCCAAAAGTTTGGTCACGGTGAAAATCTATAATTATCAGTCTCCCAGCCCCACTGTGTAGTGTATGAAAAATCATATGCAGTCATTTTTGCATCTGTGCTCTGGCACACCAAGGGAAATGACAGAGGGTCTCCTCAGTGACACACTCTGGACCAGCAAAGGAGAGGGGGACCTCAAAAGTCACCCAGGTTAGCGATGAGGAGGGAAAGAAAAGACCAGTGGATACAGATGGGAGAGAGAGGAGCCTGTGAGCAAACGATGAGAGAATATTGTTCATAGCGACAGAGTCCAGGATTTTCCATTATTCCTCATTTCTGACTAGGTACTGTATTAAAAGGAGAACCTTGAGAAGTTTGAAGGGCAGCTTTACAGACATTTATGGAGAACCATGCCAACACTGCAGTACTGGTGAAAACCTTCACAGAAAATACTAACAGCTAAAGGAGCGAAGACAAAAGATATTACCATGGCCTGACTGGAAAATAGAAGTCAGGATAATGCTAGCACAAGAAAAATTATGCATGCAGATTGTAAATCTCAGGGGCCCTTGAAACCAAAATGACTGAGCATGTGACGTGGCTGAGAACAGGAACTGACAGATTCAAAGGGGGTGAAAGGTTCAAAGGCTTAATTCCAGCTGCAACTTTCTGAACTGCTATGAACAAGGCAAGACCACACATGTGAATGTCAGACAGGGCATTATAAGATGCAGAATGATGAAAATGCATAGGGGAAAAAAAACGTATTCTGGGAATTCTTGCATGGGAACAGATGGAAAAGTCACACTTAGCATTCAGAAACAAAGGCCCACAGAGTAATTCACAGCAAAGATCATGGCCAGACTACACA